CAAGCAAATGACAGATTGTGGCAAAGAGGAACGCTTACCTTCCTGCGGGATCCACAGGCAGGGTGCACACCCAGGACACATGGCTGCCAGGACTCTCACATTCTGCCCATCATCAAAGGAAAGCATGGTCTTCTCTTCATGGCTGATACAGAGTCTACACGGCCACTACACCTGGGAAGTGTAGAGAAATCACATGCACAGTTGAGAAATGGCCCCAGGTGACAATATCCATGTCAACATTCTCCCCAGGTAAGACCTGTCTATCAAGTATCTCTATCCCTAACCTGTGACTCCAGGCGCATGTGATATACCATGAGGTTGGGCAGGTAGGCAGCTGTGCCGACACTCTAGATGGTGCCTGCATGAGTGTGACAAGGGGAAGCTGTCCCTCACTCCTCCTGTCCCTGGGGCATTGAACATGCTGGACCTCAGTTTTTGATGAGAATGACGACAGTATGAGTTCTCACTCATTTTGTTCAGCTTTCCAAGGAATGCATTTTTGGGGTCATCATCGATCTGAGCACGTGCTAAAATGTGAGCAAGGTCGGTGTTAAGGCTCATTGGGTGAGCCAATGACAGAATCCTCCAGGGGCCTGCGGGATGCAGATCCCAACACTGAGCAGGAGGAATACTCAGTCCACTGTTCGAGGGAAACCCCATGTGCTCTTCCGACACCCAAACCTGTGACTCTAGCAACTCCCCAAATCAGAAAATTAATTTCTCCACTTGGAGCAGGAAAATGCTTACCTTCCTCAGGGATCCACAGGCAGGGTGCACACCCAGGGACACTCAGCTTCTAGGACTCCCACACGCCACCCATCAACAAAGGAAAGGAAGGTCATGTCTTCATTGCTGATGGCGAGTCTACACGGCCACTCCACCTGGGAAGTGTACAAAAACCACATGCACAGTTGAGAAATGGACCCAGGTAACCATATCCAGGCCTACATTCTCCCCAGGTAAGACCTGTCTATCAAGTCCCTCTATCCCTGACCAGTGACTGCAGGTGTATGAGGCACCATGAGGTGGACAGGTAGGTAGCTGTGCTCACATACTAGGTGGTGCCTGCATGAGTGTGACAAGGGTAAGCTGTCCCTCACTCCTGTCCCTGGGGCTCTGAACGTGCTGGACCTCAGTTACCGATGAGAACGACGACGGTTGTAGTTCTCACTCATTTTGTTCAGCCCAAGGAATGTTGGTTTGGTTTTTTTGGGGGAATCATCATCGATCCCAGCACGTTTTGTGAAGCCAAATGTCTAGGTGAGGCAGCTGAGGCAGCGCACCTCGTGAGCCAAAGACCTCAGGGTCCGAAAGCAAGAGGGACAGTCCATCCACTCTTGAAGCTCAACCCCACAGGCCACTGCGGACACGTGGACAGGCTGCCTCTAGCACATCGACAAACTCCCCAAGCAAATGACAGATTGTGGGAAAGAGGAACGCTTACCTTCCTGCGGGATCCACAGGCAGGGTGCACACCCAGGACACACGTCTTCCAAGACTCCCGCACGTCACCCATCATCAAAGGAAAGGAAGGTGGTCTCTTCATGTCTAATGGGGAGCCTTGCACGGCCACTGCACCTGGGAAGTGCACAGAAATCCCATGCACATTTGAGAAATGGACCCAGGTAACAATATCCAGGCCACCCTCTCCCCAGGTAAGCTGTGCACCTGTCTATCAAGTCCCTCTATCCCTTAGGAGTGACTGGGTGCAAGTGTGACACCATGAGGTGGGCAGGTATGCGCCGATACCTTGGGAGGTGGCTGCATGAGTGTGACAAGGGGCAGCTGTCCCTCACTCCTGTCCCTGGGATACAAAACGTGCTGGACCTCAGTTACCGATGAGAACGACGACGGGTGTAGTTCTCACTCATTTTGTTCAGCTTTTCCAAGGAATGTTGGTTTGGGTTTTTTTTGGAGGGAGTCATCATCGATCCCAGCACGTTCTGGACACAGGGCCTTGGCCCAGACACATGGTTCCAATTGGCTGACATTGAAACAGAGAAAGGCTTACCTTCCTCAGCGCCCTGGGGGCATGAAGCAGACCCGGGGCTACACTTTTTCCAGGACCCGCCCATGTTGACCCCCGGTAGAGAGAGAGGTCGTCCCGTCCATGAAGATGACAGGCCTTTCATGATGACGCCACCTGGGGAGTGAAGAGAAACCACATGCACTTTTGAGAAACTCATTCAGCTTCTCAGGTCACATGATCTACACCACCCTTTCCCCAGGTACAGCCTGCACCTGTCCTTCATCCCTCTATCCCTTAGGGGTGAGATGGGCGTGTGTGACACCATGAGTTGGGCAGGCAGGCAGCTGGGCTGACGCCCTGGGAGGTGCCTGATGAGTGTGACAAGGGGAAGCTGTCCCTCACTCCTGTCCCTGGGGCTCTGAACGTGCTGGACCTCAGTTACCGATGAGAACGACGACGGTATGAGTTCTCACTCATTTTGTTCAGCTCCAAGGAATGTTGGTTTGGTTTTTTGAGGGGAATCATCATCGATCCCAGCACGTTCTAAAAAAGGGAGCTGCCGGATGGTGGCTCACTGGGTGCGGCAAGGACCTCG